CGATCATTATTCAAAGAGAGGAATCATTATTTTAAGAGAGAATTGGTAAAGCTTGTATCAGTGTGAATATGTACAATTTTGCGTTCAAAAGTAATGATCCTTTGAGTAAATATGTTACGACTTGATATATTTGTATCTAATAGAGCTTCTAAAGAGGATTTTCCGACAGTAAATCGAAACGCCAAGCAAATAAAAATGTAATTTAAAAAAAACTTTGCCCGTTATCTGTCAATTAGTATAACAAAAAAAATTAATTGCACAGACCTTAAATATAATTACAGTGGAGACCGTTTTTTATCAGGCTGGAGATAGTGAGAGACCGACTGTAGCGAGCAGATTTTGTACGTTTAGTTAAATCCAAACCATGAAGTATAGGAAATTGTACCGATATAATGAGTGCAATATAACGAGAAGTCGGGTATTGTAAAAAATTTTGTAAAATTGAACTTTATAACGAGAAATTGCGTGTTAACACTCGTAGCAGAATACTCGTACAGAAACTCAATAGCAGAATTATGTAAATGGAGGTTCTTTTAAGAAAGTTTGATAATTTTATGATCATTTCCACGGTTGGTTTCTTTACTGCATAGAATTTTTGCAGAATTTTTACTTTCAACTTTCATTAATGGAATAACGTATTAGGGAAACGATGCACCAGTGAATGAAACATTTTTACCAGTAACTAAAACCACTATACTTAATGATAATATATTCAGAAAATTGTAAAAAACTATTGAAATATTTAGTATTAATGATCAATTATATTATGAAATTTCACTACCGATGAATTAGTTCAGTATAATTAAATAATATTAATTTATGAATAAAATTTCATTCACTGGTGCGTTTTCAATCACTAGGGAGGTGACTCTATATCTTGTACTTTTCTTGCTGTACATGATTCGTAAATTTTCAAAATGGAAAATAACATATAGAAGTTTGCAGTGCTTAAAATTGATCGTCCTCGATTATTTCAACGATTTGGAAAAATCGTGAAAGTATCATTAAGTATTTCTAATTTCAATTTTAAACGAAAATCAGTAAAACAAGCACAACTTACAATTTTGAGTTTCTTGAAAAAAAAAAAATTAAATATTAATCAATTTGTAAACCTCATACAATTTATTTCTGTTATTTTCTATCATATTATTATATTAATATAATTTATACCAATGTAAATAAATAATCAATACGTATGATAATTATATGATTTGATAAATAAATGAAATTATTAAATCACAAAATAAATGTTGTGATTACTGCTCGTGTCAGCTATAACCAAATACAATGATAACTTTTCGAAGGTCTCGTGAATCTCGTTGTAAACGGTCTCCACTGCATTTTATATTCAAGGTCATTTAAAGGTCAAGTTAATAAAAAGTGGTAAAAAATCTGAGAAAATTCCTACATCGGTTTTTTAGGATGCTAAATGTAGATCCGAGGTCAGAAGACCCTCATGAGATCACCTCAAGGTAATTTGAAGGTCAAACTGAGAGAATTCGATATAAATATCCGAAAAAAATCATATCAATGATTTGAGGGACGCTGAATCTAAATAAGTGGTCATTTCAACTGTTTCCATGAAAGTCATTTCATTTCACCTCAACATGTCAACTACTGCCTTGTAAGTTTTTATAATGGTTTGAGCCTTGGTTTGCCCTGGAGACGCTAATATGTGTCGAAAAACGTGCGAAAAAGGCCCCTCAAGCAGCGTATATCTTTAGAGAGTAGTTGATATGTTGACGAAGCTTTTTAAATATTTTTGGAAAAGGAAAGTCCGGATCATGCTTGATTAGATTTAGGGTTTCTTTGCTTAAGGGGACCGACCTGTGTTAAAAGCTTAAATTCAAAAAATAGCTATAAAAATCGAAATAGTGGAAATTTTTTTTTTGTGATCGTAAAATATGTTTATTAGACACCTGATTGACCAAAAAAAAATTCTATCCAAGCTCTGAAATGCCAATTACGCTTATTTTTTCATAATACTAAATATTATAATAGGATTCACTTGCTACGCGATTCTGACGTGAGCTTTTCATCAATATTGATCTATGGGGTCTCAAAATCTTCAGAAAAGTACCCTCATCCACTTAAGCGGAGCAGAATTTGAAAAAAAAAGTTTGTTTTTCTTCCAAGAGCTTTAATATGGCTTCTAGTGTTGATAAAATACTAATTTTCTCAAAAATTGGCACATTTTGACGTGTATATAAAGTTGTACGCAATTTTTCAAAATTCTGCTCCGCTTAGGTGGACGAGAGTACTTTTCTGAAGATTTTGAGACCCCATAGATCAATATTGATGAAAAACTCTTTTCAAGATCATGCGGCAAGTGATTTATAACACAATATTTCGTCTTATGAAAAAAGTGATGTAATTGGTATTTCAGAGCTTGGGTAGAAGTTGTTTTTGGTCAATCTGGTGTAGAATGAACATATTTTACTATCACAAAAAAAAATTTCCACTATTTCGATTCATATAGCTATTTTTAGCTGAAGCTGAATTTAAGCTTTTAACACAGGTCGGTCCCCTTAATCTTAATTATTTCTATTGTATAAGCCTCCAGAGTGCTCAGATCTCTTGAAGACCAATTTTTTTCTGAAAATTTGGACGATTTCCAATAAAAAAACTCCGATACACTTTTACTTTTGAACCATTCTACACTGAGCTAGAGCTTAATGAAATATTTCCGATTTTTAATAAATTACAGAAAAATGCAAAAAAGGCTTACTTTCGAATTATGAAAGAGGGTGATAGAAGGCCCCAATCGCTCTATACATTTCTTTTACATTTTTGACATCCCGAACGATGTGTTTATCATATTTGATATAGAAAAAAAATTTTGACCGGTTGAGTTGACAGAGAATCGGCCATATACACTTTTTCTCTAACCCTTCGTTTTTGGGTAAAAATTCTAAAAGTTTTTATTCATTTTTTCATGTTCAGACCGCCATTTAGTGTGTTCGAACATTAATTTTTCGAATCGGAACCCCGCTAACTTTTAGTTTAAATATCAAGGAAATGATTTATGCCAAAAATACACTGGCCGAAATAAGTGTTTGAAGAACGTCCTATTGGGACTTAATGAGTTAAGCATTATGAAACAACGTGTAAAAGCTCGAATCAAAGTGATAAGTGGTAAAAATATTTAAAATCTAAGTTATCTTACAAATCTCATGCAAAATTGAAAGAAGTAATATTTGATGGACCCAAAATAAGAATAATGCTGAATGATAACAATTTTTTTAACTAAGATGACTGCGATTCAGAAAACTGCGTTGGATCGATTCAAAAATGTTGCAGATATATTTCTAGGTAATTACAAAAACAATAAATGCGTCGATCATGTAGAACGATTCCATTGCGACATAAACAGTGCATAGCAGCGGTATCAAGGTAAATAAGATTTGATGACCGATTGCTGCTGCATGTTAAAGAGAGAGAGAGAGAGAGAGAGAGAGTTTAAGTTAGAGAGGCAAAAACTTGAACGGCCACTAATGCGCCGATCGTTTGAAAAAAAAAAATTCATGCAAAATTAAGAATATTTTCCAAATATTTTACTTTTTTCTATAATATATTTCAACTCCCATTTTCAAATATTTTACTTTTTTCTATAAGATTCAGCATCCTTAAAAACCTATGTATAAGTATTCTAAAATTTGTTCACCTTTTTTCGTCATCTGACCTTCAAATGACCTTCAAATGACCTTTATATGGCTGGTAACAATCAAATTAATCTTTGATTCAAGTTCAGTGACCCTATAATTTAATTTTTTTCGTAGTTTAACTTTCCATTCTTGGATTAACCTGTTCATGATTTTGAAAGTGAGCCAAACTTAAAAACCGACATACTTCAGTTAGCAATGGTGAACTCGAACATTTATTTGTGTGGCTGTTTAATATGTAATAAGAAAAAATACATGATTTATGCAAATGTTTTCGATTTTTTTATAATACCTATAACAATTTTTTTAGCACTGTGTGGCATAAGTTCACATTTATGGCACGCTTTTCTGTGGCATAAGTCGCACATTCTGGCACCGCTGCGTTCGCATCACACTCGCATACACTCGTGCGCTAACCTCACTTCACGCTACCAGAAAGTTCGACACATGACTCGGAAAAGAGAGCATAAATGTGAACTTGGCACAGTGCTAAAAAATGTTGTAAGATACTCGTGCCATGGGGACACTTTTCGGCCCAGCTGTTGGCTAAACTACGCCGTGCTAAAAAAAGTTACTTATGGCACTAGTATCGTAAAGTACTAATTTTCAATATTTCGCTTTCTTAAACGTTCGAGATTAACCACTAGTAAATGAGGTATGTTGCTAGTTAATATTACAAATCAACAGATTTTTCCAAAAAAAATATCATACTCAACGTATTTTTCGATGGGGTAATGGTGATCATGAATTTACCCTCAAAAATAATTTTAAAGATACCATTCTTTTGTTTAACAATTTTTAACAATTTTATCTTATCCTATCATAGTATGTACCCACTGTAGCTGAAAATCTACTCAACTTATCATTTTTAAATTTTTTTCTACGATTCAAGTACATAAAATATGAGGTTATGTGAAGTGAAGGTTAAAAGTAATCTTATTTGTTGTTAAAAAGCATATAATAATGAAGAAGTTAAATAATCTTGACGTCATTACCTCATTTATTATCAACACAAATAGTTTGTAAAATATGAAATGAATCGGGTAAGTAGATTTTGAGTGACAGTGGGATTGTTTTTCCATTGTGTGAGAAAATTTGTCATAGCTAGCTTATTTTTCGTTATTTTGGGCTGAAAATTCAACCATATATCTTTAAATAACTATAATATAATGAAGTTTTACACAAAACATTGATAGAATGTTGATACATGAGAATGTTATGTGTTTCATGATGAAAATATTAATATTACTCTACATCGTACAATAAATTTATAATATGAATGTTATAAGAATAATTATATGTTAAATTTGTTAAAGTATATATGTAAATCATGCACACCTCTATTTTCCTGCCCTCAACCACTGTGCCATGTAGTCTCTCACGTGCTCGGTCTGCATCTGAACAATTTGCGAATGTTACAAAACCAAACCCCTGCATGCATAAACAGATAAAATGACGTGCAGATTAAAAGAAATATATATGTTTATAAATATTATTTTTTCAAACATATTATACTAGACTTTAATATGTATGGCTTTTGCAGAACATATTATGATGATTTTGGCATTTGATTACATTAAAAATTGAATTTAAAACTTTTTCTTAAAGTAGGTATAAAATCATTATAAATATGGAGTAATATTCAATACTGTTAAAAATGTATAATTATTGCGTCATGAACACGTTCATTGTTGAAAATAAATATTTTTTCAAGTTCTATTAAGGGCTAACAGGGGGCTTAAAATTGAAAAAAAATTGCTGTATTTTTGAGTAAGATTTTTTCTCCTTTTTCCATAACATTCTTTAAAAGTTCGAAACGTTAATTTTTTTACTGTGATACAGCCATTACTATAAGCCTTTTTCATATACTTTGCATGTTAAATTTTTTCTTCTTTTGCGTTTTTTGAAGTTTAACGTTTTTGCAAAATGCACCTCCCTTGTCGTAATATTCAGGTCGCGTACACTTCTTTAGAACATCAATGGTTACGGTGGCGACCTTGGGTGAGCTTACGAGACTCATAGGTCACTTTTAATTAGTAGATTGATGATGTAGGTAGCAAAAAAAAGCCTAAAATAGGAAAAAAGATTGTGCTTAAGTGTTAGTGCAGGGTCGGATAACCTTTCCCGAGGTTGCGACCGTAATCATTTATGTTCTAAAGAAGTGTACGCAACCCTGCTGCTGTAGCTTTGACGGTTCGATTGGAATTTTACGGCAACAGGGGTGCATTTTGCAAAAACGTAAAACGCCAAAAAACGCAAAGTTAGAACAAATTTGGCATGCAAAGTATACAAAAAATGCTCACGGAAATACCTGTATCTCAGTGCAAAATCCAAATTTTAGAGTTTTAAAAAATGCAATGGAAAGGGAACAAAAAAATCCTATTCGAAAATAAAATAAAAATTTTTTCGATTTCAAGTTATTGTTAGCCCTTAATAAGATCGAGGAAGAAAAAACCTGAGGTAAAGCAACATTTTAATCTACTTATATTCATAGTGGTATAAAACTGCTCGTTCTTCCTGTCGTGTACAAGTATAAATGGTTAAGTATTCGTGTAAATTATTACTCGAGAAAATCAAAACCTTTTTTGTTAAGATTCTAAATAAATTCAGAAAAACAACATATTCTATAAATATAAGCATGACACTAAATGAAGATCTCTAATCAAAGATTTTTTTCACCTGCACCTCAATAAATTGAGTGTAATGTAGAGGGTCATGAAACTCACAAGGATTCGTTACAGTTACACTCTTGAATGCGACATTCATTTTTACAAATATTTTTTTAAATAAATAAGTTAATTATTTGGAAACCTCAAGTTAACTTTTACAACATATCAATGACATTAGTTTTTAAGCTTTAAGCTCAACAATTAAATACACATGGGCTTTGAATTTCGATCTGGTTTTTTTTTTTTTAATTTCTTCTTTTTTGGCAAAAATTTAAAAAGATCCAAATGTTTTAGTAGCTGCAACCTTATAATTGAAACCGATGAAATTTTTATTGATTATAATTATTAGCAACGTTTCTAAAGTAATAAATGTACCCATGCAAAAAAGTAGTATTTCTATACTTAATATGTTATTTATTATTCACTTTATACAATTAGAAAACTTATAAGTCAACAATTTTTTTTGTGGGTACAGCAATCAGTCCTCAAGTAATCCCTTTGGTAGCCCCATTTATCAACCCAACCTTCGGCAGGACTATAATCTCCACAACTGTGTTCGCATTTGCCCAGGTCCAGGAACCCATAGAACAAGGAAAAACCTTGTACCAGTGTACAATGTATCAGTGGATTTGCAGTAGAGGTACACCTTTTAGAGAAAAACCCACCCCAAAACAGGGTAGCCTGTAGGTACTCTTCTCGACGAATAATGTTTCGGAAAAATTTGAATGTATTTCCCCGGAAATCGAACTTACGACCTTTTTAGCAATGTTGTATTCGTGACAAGCGTGCTACCCACTGAGCCAACGATCGCTCCAACTAACGACCTCTCCATAAGTCAAGGAATAAGCTATAATCAGTTCCACGCATACAAATTGTCTGTATTTTTTCTTTTTTTTCTTAATATAAAATTCGCCTGTACTATTTTATAATTACAATATTATGCACATTTTACTACTGTAATAAAATTTGTATAAAAATGAAGAAGAGAATGATGAACATTTTCAATGTAAAAATACTTTCCTGTTATGTAGATAAGCAGTTACATTTTCAGATACTGCTAATAAATGCAAAATGATTTTCATTGAATAATTGACAGGGTAGGCAGCAATTAAAAAATATTTGGCTTTTTGAATTTTGTTAAAACAGAATTGACTTTTTTAATAGGATTTTTTCTCAACTTTCCAGTAATCAGAATTTTCAAATTTTGATTTTATCGTTGATTTAAAGTTACGACAGATGACAAAAAACACTACTCGCCAGAAAACGCCAAAAAAAGAAAAATTTTAAATAGAAACAGCTGTATCTCAGTGCTAAATCAAAATTTTGGTGTTTCGAAAAATGCTTTGAAAAGGAAAGGAAAATCCTACTAATAAATTTAACAAAAAAATTTTGAATTCAAGGTGCATATAAGTCCTTAACATCATAAAATAAACACAAATTAAAATATACATGTAAACTTAACGCAAATATTAATGAGCAAGAATCGAAATGGAACAATCTATCAGGTTGGAGGAATAAGGAGACAGAAAGAAAAAGAATAACATTATGCCGCTAAATAAAATTCGGCCTAAAGCAAGCTATGAAAAAGCATAAGAATTAAGCATACATTAAGAAAGTTTCCTAAAAAGTCTCTCAGTGTTCCCTTTTCTTTCCCTCTCTTTCTCTCATGCTTGTGACGTGCTCATTCAGACTCGCTCAGAATCATGTTGGTGAAATCATTGGTTTTCCTTTATTTGGATGAGCCAACGAGACTTCAGCGATGCCAGAACGCTGCGTTGCTATTTACTACAGGTGAGCGCAGATTCGAGCATATTTCTCCATACTAGGTCGAGTTGCGCATCCTTAGGCTCGAGAATTGCCGCAGTCTTCTGGCTGTAGACCTGTTGGCTACTGTATTGAGACGTGGGACTCCGGTTTATTTTGCGGCCAGGTTTTTCTTCGAGTCTGACAGCGCCGATCCACAGCGTTTGCTCAACTCAGTAGCTTGCAGAATGCAATTTTCATACACGCTGCCAACCAGTGGAACGATCTACTTCATGAGACGAGAATTCTCTTTCGAGGTTCCGGCTTCGCGAGAGCCTCACATAAATTGTATCTGCGCCGAGGTGGTCCGTTACTACTGACTCCGGTTTCAGATGTCCGACGCTCCATACATCGTCGGCACTAGGGCGTGTTAATAGAAGCGTACACATAGGAATAAGGAAGAGAGGGCGGATATAAATCAATTGGACTCGCGATTAAATACGAGAACAGATTAGGGGGTTATTCGGCCAGACTGGCCCGTAGTCGCCACTGCTTTGGCTACAAGCAACTCTATCCTGTTGTGTCTAATGACTATCTCTGACTGCCCGAGATCAACTCGAGCCCTAGGCGACTCGCGCGTGTCGCTATAGCGTATACGTACAAACATGAGAGGGGAAGACTGGCGGCTGACATCACAGCGTATAAGTCGTAAGACTCTACGCACTATCATACATGTTTTCAAATCCAATATTGATCAATGCATGTATGTATACGTGTCTACGAGTGTATGTCTTCTAAAGGGAAGTCGCCATTTTTATTTTATATAAACACACGATAATGACCGCTCCATCCGCTAGGTTAAGATTTTAATTAAATAAATAATTTTGAAAAACCATTTAAATACTATGATTCAGAACTTATTTAGAATAAATAAAAAGTTACAAAAATTAAATTATCATAAAAATCAATTAACAAATAATTTAAGTAAGCAACAATAAAAATTTGAAAATTAAGTAATAAATTAAATAAAGCAACGATTAAAATAAGGAAAAATTGAAAAAAATATTAATGAAAATTATTCTGTAGCAAATACTTTCCGATTAATTGTGATATCGTTTAATGAGTGCCGAGGCCGCTCCGCAGACACTGACTCAAAATATTCGTTAAACATTCATCAATTTGTAGTTATATTTACGTAAATTCATGAAAATTAGTGTACAAGAACACTACGATTTATGATTTACGATTGTAGACATGTGCACGAAGCTATACAATAACTCGAGTTATTATTCGACCGATAAACACGCATAAGCACGCAACGTGCGAGCGAGATTGATTGATCGATTGAAAAATTTTCATTTGACCTTGGGGTACCACCCTGACTGGCCATATAGTAAAATACATTTGTTATAAAAGTATAGTTAGTAATTATAAATACACTCTCTCACTTTAGTATGTGTGTGTAAGTACAGGTAGTGCAGCGTTGTTGAAATTAATAATTATGTTATGGAACAAATGTACAGGGCCTCAACTGTGAACTCGTCAAGCATATTGGCTCGCTGGGAGGTGGAAAAAGGCCGCATGCAGAGAAGTTCGAGTTCGGAGGCAGAGGCGAAAACCTGCTGGCCGGCAAATGCCTAGCAACCAGCAACGTCGTTTGTTAAAGATTGTTGATTTAGGTGGCCAAGCAGTTGGAACGACGCAGCATCTTCATTCTCCTGGTAACGCGCGGACGGTGCGGAGCTCTGTGATCGCAAGCTTTCTCAACCAATAAACCAGCATCGCATCAAATTATCTCGTTTTGTTGGTTTATTTTTCTAATTCCTAGGGACTCACAACGGCCTCATACGTGCAGCAACAAATTAGATACAATTAATAACTTAAGATTAAATAAGCGTAGTAAAAAATAAATATGTACAAAAATAAGAAATATATAGATATAGATATATACATATATACATTAGAGTAAAATATGGAAAATAGAAAATACAAGCATTCCGACTAGACATTTTTAAATTG